TGAGCAAGCGATTGACCTGATTTTTGATTCAGACAGCAATGAAGGTGAATTTTTAGATGTGCGAGACTTAGACATGCCTGTTAGCGATGATGACTGTGGGGCTTCAAGCAGTTCTGACGGCGGAGATGTTCTTGATGAAGATGAGCCTAGGCCTAGAAATGTGAAGGTTGTCGACGCTTTTGAATGGAAAGATCGCGCTTATAGTTATGCATGGTTGGGTAAATAAATTATATAACCGTGTGGAATAGGAATGTTTTATATTTGTTTTTATTTTTTTTTGGCTATAATTTTTTTTTTTTTCGGTTTTGCTGACGATTTATATGTAGCATTTTTCTGTCATTTCTATTATATTATATATATATTATATTATATTATATTATGAAAAAAAATTCCCAAAAATATAAATTATACATTGAATGAAAGCTTATTCTATATGCTTTCTTTTCTTCTTTTAAAAACATTTTTCTGTATAATTTACAGAAAGTTCCCAAAAATCCACCAGAACGAAAAAAGCAAAAAACCTTGTTACACTGCAAAAGAATCCGGTATTCAAGGGTTTGCACTACAAAAGAATCCGGTATCCAGAGGGTTAAGAAAGTTAACTCAAATACATGCTGAGATTGACAGAAGTGGAAAAGAACAAACGCTAATTTTCAGGTGACTCAAAAGCTGTAATAAGCCCTAACACCAAGCTATACCCCCTTCCACATAGGGGCAGATCCAGCAGGGGAGCCACGGGGCCCCGTCCCCATCCCTGTCAGTTCCGCCGAAAAATTAAAAAGAGAAAAAAATTGAGAAGACTCCCGATGTCAAATTTTTCAACGATTTCATAAATCAGTATGGAAAAAAAGGCCGGAAGACAGAAACCTAAGACAGAGTTTTCAACCATTATCCATGATCTGTGGTGTAACGCCTATGCACTCTCGTGCGGCGGTCTGCAGGGCCACCGATCCCTAGGGGCACCTTTGGTATCCCTACCCATGGTCCAGTAGTGCCCTCGCTGTATTGTACCCTGGGCCAAAAAGGGTTTGTTGATACATAACAGCACAATATGTCTCCGACATTGACTGTAGGACATAATATACCATTTGGAGTGTGGTGCCCAGCCGGCAGGACCCCCTACATTTGTCAAACTTTTAAAAAATTGGAGATAAAATATTAGACTATTAAAATAGTCTGAATGAGTGCCATTTCCAGGCATCTAGATGTACCATAATCACAACTCTCAGTCTCCCAGTCGCAAGGATAGGGGGTGTCTAAGGGATGGGGAGCATAGCTCCCGTGGGCAGAAGGTCAACAATTTTGTCGAGGAACACTGCTTTGAAAAAGTATTTTTACCATCTGAGAGTGCTATTTCCGAGCATCTAGAGGTGCCTTAAAATTTCTCACCTCAGCCCCAACCATGGGACACTATGGCGTTCCCCCACCCCCTTCAGAACTGATGATCAGCAATTTTACTTTTCTATATTTTTGCAGGTTTTTTTTTTTTTTTACCGCTTCCTTCAACCATTTATTTGGTTTTGTTCTTTTCTGTTGTCCTGCAAAGTGCATAGACACGAATGCTATATCTGCTATACAAGTGCACAATTTACCTTGTTTTGCAAGTCATCTTCAAATAGTCGGCAGTAGCGCGTCACTTCCATTCCATTGCTTCCACATGGCAACACATCCATGTCAAATTGGCACACAATATGCATGTGAGCGTTCCTACAATCGCAAGCAATGTACCTTGTTAATTCCACGCCCCTTGCACCGCTCTGACAAAAAATCTTTAGTTCTGTTTCGAGGAATATCAACACCTGTAGCAAATAGAAAACTGATCGTAAATCTATTGATGTTAATGACATGATTAATACATTTAAAAAAACCGATTTCTTAAGTGTTTCAAGTCATTGAAGGCAGTACCTTCGTACATACTATCGGCGATGGTTCATCTTCCTGGGTAAGCTGAGCGGCATTGAAGTTTTTTCGTCTGATGATTGTTGTCTGTAAAAAACGAACATAGGCCTCTGTCATAAGCAATTTTTTTATAATGTATCAGACATAATATTTGATACTCAAGTGCTTGTGGTTCTGGTTTTGTATGGGGGTGTGTGTGTTTTATGTGCTTGATGTTCCAATAGTAAAATGGTATTCCTTCTATATACAGTATTTAATATTTATTTTTTAATAATGATGATAGTGTTGTGGGGGTCGCTGCCCCAGGGCCCGGGTCTACTGGGGGGCCCGGACCAAGATGAAAAATTGTCGGGGTAAAAACAAAATCTCCATAGGGCCCGAGCACAAGCCAGGATGAAAACTTTTGTTTTTAGAACAAACTCTTAGGAGACTTAATTTGGGGAGCAGCCGAGTGGGGGACCCAAGTGAAGAGGGGGGCCCCATGTGAGGTGTTGCCCCGGGGCCCTTACTGGCTCTCGACACCACTGTGGTTTATTAAGGTAATACGATAATGATGGCGGTGCGATTGGTACAAATGAAGACGACGATGATGATGATAATAATAATGATGGATGATGATGATAATGATGGTGTAAAAGTTGCAATTAAGATATGTAGAAGCCTTTATACTAAGAGACAGATGACTATTCAACAGAATTGCAAGAAATATATAAAAAACTACAGTAATACTAACATGATTTAAATTATGATTAATGTATCGATTACCTGTATTGCATTTCTATTGTTTAAAAAAAAATTAGACATGGCAAATTTGGAATATAACATTCCATAATCTACCATTATGAATAAACTTGTCATTTATATTAAAAGTAATGTAAGTACTCTTAAGTGGCAGAGATAAATAATCTTAAATTGCACTAATTACCTTAAACATACGACGATGCTTGATTGAGGCTACACTCAAAACCACGAGGTGAAGTTCATCGATACCCAATTCCACGTGCTCATAAGATAATGTAGGCTCATCGTCTTTTACTTGGAATCTCTCAATGAACTTAGTTACTCCACGCTGGAAAAGATCGTCAGGTAGATAGCGACTAAAGTCATGAAAGATTGAAACTGCGCGAATCCCGTAATTGTTAGTTTGTGTGGCATCTATTCGTTTAGGCTTCAAGCACGAAAGAACGTAGAAAATACGTTCACCACCCTGAAAAAAAGTAAATACTTCATGTCAAAAATTGTCAATAATAGAAAAAGAACATTTTAAACAAATTAATGACACGCCTATGATGATTATAATTTGCTTTTATCAATTGATGTGATAAAGCATAGTCTTAGGGCAAAGAGAAACAATATTATTGAAAAAAAGATACCATTGTAATGTTTTTCTCACACACCAGCCCAAATTTCTGCATGAGAGATACAAAGAAGTCAAACATCTAATCTGAAAAATTGAAGTCCTTCCAGAGGTGTCTTAACAGATGCTCCTCTAGGACCCCTGAGTCCAATCTTCTCCTGGCCTTTCTGTGCTTTGTTTCCTGAAATTTAATCATTTTATATCAGGCTATGCTTTTATTGCAAAAATACATCACTAAAATAAATAAATGTAAAATTGTGTGAAGTTTAACTTACCATAAACTTTAGATCAATAACGGTGATTATTGTTTTAAACATGTCAACTATTTTCATCAGATCTAAAACAATAATGTCCTTTAAGGCGTCGTCATCAGGAAAGTAGAGAATCTCGCCAAGGTCGTGTAAATACTCAAGCAGCAACATTTGGCCATCTATTTTGACCCCACAACGCTCAACTAAAGCGATCATCTGATGAAGAAAAAGCTTGCACCGATTAATACCAAGTTTAATGGCTTCAAACGTGTGTAGAAGACTATAAATACGAATAACAGCTGAAATTCCTTTTTATGCAGAAAAAAATTCCTGGATTTTTCAGGATGCTTGGGAGTATGATTTAGAGTTTAAAATTAAAGAATGTTGAATAGATGCTTTACCTCTTTGGTTGGTAAATAGATATGTTCCACTTTCAACTTCTGGATTTCTTGTTGAGCAAGCAGCCATTTCAAAGGTAGTTTCCTAACCATCCTCTTTGCAAACTTTAAAATCTGGTTCATAATGTTAGAAGCATTGCTCCTTGCGAACGGTAAGCTGTTCTCAATAGCAAAGTAACTTGACACCATTGTTTCACAAGGTTTCCCTTCAAAATGCTTTCCGAATTTTATTGAACATTTCTTCGGCCTGAATTAAACATAAATATTAATCATCAGACATAAATGTGAAAAAGTATTGACAAGAAGATCAACTACGTAAAAAGCAAGATAATGATGGCAATGTGTAAGTGGTCATGTTCATTGATTTTCAGTGGATCGGATTGGATTTATTCGGTGTAAACACCAAGGATAGCCTACGAAGACTTGTCTGCTTATGAAACTTGTATTTCAGCCCTCTAGCTGAAACACAAGGAGAAGCAGCGATGAGAATTTGAACCGGGGACCTACAGATCTTGACGGTTTAGCGCACACACAGTGGCTACCACCAGATTAGCCAACAGAGCTAATCAGTGGTCACCCTATTATCCACCATCGTTAAAATGGCCAATCAAATAAAGTAAAAATCGTAATTGGTAATTGTTTGTTACAGTATAGTACAACACAGAATACCAATTATAGGCCTACGAATGAAACGTTGTAATAACAGTATATAAAGAGCCTAGGCCCTGTCTAGCCATCATTATAATATATATTTTTGGAAAAACTTGCGGACAATGATACTGTATTCTGTATATTTTTG